CATCCATCCATCCATCCATCCATCCATCCATCCATCCATCCATCCATGGCCTAGATTCTAGGCAGAGGAGTTGCTCCATTTCAAAATGCCCACAGCCCCTCCCCTGCAAAAGTACCTTGGACCTTTGTTACATAAATTTGAGACACATAACTAGGTTCTTAGCTCAAATTATGATAAAGCTTTTCCTGGACTGTACCATTTCAAATCACAGAAGAGACTGCAAGATTGTTCCTCACTTGTGTCTTTAGGCATGGGGCATGTATGTGGCAGTACAATAAGTGCCTTAAAGGAATGCATGTCAGCACACTTCATAACTGGATATAGTACTACATAGGAAAGCTTGTTTTGTGGATTATGTGGACTTGGAATTTAAAGCTCCATGTAGTTTGTGTGTGTGCGTGTACATACACACACATACATTTATACATACACAAAAGGTTAATCTTGAGCATTTTCCTACAAGTACATAAAATCAAAGGCTGTTGCTTAGCAATGATTTACTCTTGAGTCATAGCATTGTTTAATAATTCACTTGAATTGCTCTCTACAAATGATTTCAAAAGTGAGCATGCAAGTTTTGCTTGCCATAGCCAATTGTGCCAAGATCTTCTGATGGTGCAAGTCTTTTAAGGGGAGGCAAGTGCAATAGGGTTATATGAATGGCACAGTCCTTAGCTTAGAGAGGGGGAGAGATATTGCATATTTGTACAATACTTATGAAATACACAGTATTTTCTATTCTGCAAGTTGGGTGATACTTTGTTTAAAAAAACAAAAGCTCTCAATCAAAGAAAATATTAGACTCCAACACTTAGTGAATTAAAAAATTGGGCACATTTCAGTAATCCTCTGCTTTCATAATGAAATTGATGCCTGAACGCCACTCTCCCTCCATTACAATACATACTTTCAAAGACTCAGTAATCAATTATTAAATGCAAAGAATTGTTCTGCCTACATTAGACAAATATCCACGGTATCTTATAGGAAATTCAAACATTATTTCAACAGCTGCAGTGTTTTCAGCACGTCTTTTTGCTCATTGATATGCATTAGAGATAAACTGTTTCTGCCACCCCCCCCCCAAAAAATTTAAATCCTAAAACCTGAGAAAAGGCCCCAGCATGATTGCATGCTCTACTTTACAGAATAATCCAGTTCAAGCCCAGTTTAATAATAAGGAACTCAGAAATTAGAGCAAAGGTCTTGTGTTACCT